ATTTTTTAAAACTGATTTTACTCGTCTCAATTACTGCGCAACATATTGCGTGCGCAATAATCAAGACAAGTGAATGTTCCACTCATAGCTTATCCGCAGCAAATGTATGCAAACAATGCCAGTAATGGCTGCCGCGACGTGAATGGATCCGAATTTTTCACTGTCGATAACTCCAAAACAGTAGATTTTGTCAAATTTATCTATTCATTTTTTAATGAAGCATGCACCTTTACACCTAAATATAAGTATTCGGGAAATTTTTATTGTAAACTAAGCGCGGGTCCTAACCTGCAAATTAACCGGAAACCATTTAGAATCCTTGTTAATTCGCGAGGCTCCTTAAATTTGAATTGCCACATTATTCTGAAACAACGTGTACATATAAACCCGACGTTAAAAAAAAAAAAAAAAAAAAAAAAAAAAACTGATGGCTGAACCTAAAGTGAAATTTATTTAGCTGCCTGAGTTTTACAATATAAACATTAAGGTTTTCCCAACGAGTTTGCAAATATCAAGCATTTTATAAAGCTATCGATTTTTCTGAAATTTTTCGAAACACTCCTGTTTGAAAATGGCATGTTGTTTATATATTCCACAAAACCTTCGTTTTCTTGCTGAGATGAAATCGCTTTAATGAAACAAGCAGACAATTCACTAATTTCAATCGCCGTATCACCAAACCTAAATAAACTAAACTCCGCATTTCACCAAATCACTCTACTTCTCCAGAGTTGAATCGCCATTTTCTCATTGATATAATACAGGTCTAAACGAGTCAGGTTACCCACTTTCGACAGAGCCAATCCTTTTATTGTTAGATCATTACAAATCTTTGCCTCCTCTGTCAAAAAACGTAGTAGATAAATTCTAGTATACAAATCTGCACTTTTACATGGGCTTGAACACTGACTGATCGTGCCAGGGGGAATACATAATGATATCAAGTGTGGTGGACCGTTGGGTTTGTGTGAGTTGTATTAGAAACACGTGTGTAACTCCTGGTAGAATATTAAAAGGTCCAACTACAAGAAAATTGTTGGACTCAAGTTAAGTCCAACTGAAGATGTAAAGATTTTTGCGAGAGCTTACGTTGTAGATGTGTTTGCTGAAATGAAGAAATAAAAAAGAGGATTTACCTCACTTCCACGAGAGGTGGGATGCAGCACGAGGCCTGGCGGAAAGAGAACAAGGCAAAAAGTCACCCAGTATAGTATAGGAAGAGTGACCCCTAGTGGTAATTTGGGAATTAAGGAGGAGTTAACTCCGACACATGCATGAAGCTAGTAGTAATGTAGACAAGCCAAAAGACTGGAAAAGATCTACAGACAGATAATTTTGTCTAGGTCAAGACAATATGTTTAGGTGGAGAAAGTAAAATTAAAAAAAAAAATAGATCGCATTTGATTAAGAAAGAAAGAAATATCAGGACCTCGTACGCGAGCTACGGAAATTGCGGATGATGAAGATAACGGCATTGAAACACAAACAACTCGGTCAATGCAAAGAGTGACCAAATTTAGTCATCATAAACAGAGAAAATAGACGTTTGAACAGACATCGTCATTCCAATCCGACAACAGAATGAAAATAAAACCAAGTGAAAACAGAACGATGTTGGAATATGTACATTATGATTATATACCGCAATATGAGAGCGAGCGGGGCGTTCCTGACACCGAAGTAGAAATATTGAAAGACTGTAAAGATGGAAAAGGAATTTAAACTATCCGGACGACGACATTCTCAAAGAAAGGAGGAAGCTAGTTGCTATTGCATCGACAGCGATAGTTACCATATAGTGGGTCAGCCAATTTGTATTGGTTATATATAGAAATAAAAACTGACCCTCTACAATTTTTACAATATCAAATGTAACAAAGACAACAAAAAGAGAAATAATCAAGTAGACGAAATTGTGAATTTGTTCAACAATAAATATTTTTTATAAACACAACAAATACATAATATATAGTGCAAAAGTTGATAAACACAATAGAGTTCTTTGGTGTGTGTTACTGAAAGAATTTGAGTTACTGTACTGTATGTGTGAAAATGACAAGGTTTAGTTAGCTATATTTCTTTTTATAGGAAAATTAAACAGATGTCTTTTTTGTGTATTAAATAGAAAAAGTATTGTTCTTGACTCACTGATTGTTATAGAGTTATCGCTCATTAACCAGAGATTCTTGTGGAATGGAATATTTTGTGGGAGTGAGCGTTAAGCCTGGAGGTGGTTGACAAAGTTTGTTGTTGTATTGAAGATAAAGTTCGTCTCCTTTGCTGTGTTGATTTCCACTGAAGTCAAGTGAATTGGTTTCAATATTTTAAGTGCTCACTGACCAAGTCGCGTCGAAGTTTCATTTTTATTAGTTCTCTTGGTCACGTGGGGAGGCTCGTAAACATGTTTACATTTTATGGCGTCAACTAGAGGTCAAAATTTGGGTCGGTACCTTCGGACGTAGTTGACGACACCTAATTAATATTTTACAACCAATCAAAATACATCAGTTGTTATATCTGGTTGGGAGTCTCTATGTGTTTAACTTGCACAAAATTTAAGATTTTAAAAAAATGTAGGAATCTGATTCTACAACCAGATACTGATAATGTAATACATCACTATTAATTCAAAAGGACTTTTGAAAAGTACGATTAAGAATTGGATCCATTTAACCTTTTCATGTCAAACTTTAGCTTACATACCCTCATAATCTGCACTTACTCACTCCTCTTGCGCTCTTTGAAATGTCTTTCAGTAACCCTTTAACTTGATTGTCTCTAGGGCCTTGTATTAGGTGAAAGTTTGGTAAGAATATTGAGTGTAATTGGAATACTAAGTAGAGATCATTTTCATCTTCGCAGATTATTATTTTTTTTTTTAAATGTCATGCCTTTTCAGGACCTAGGCGATTGTGGCTCTTCACAGATTGTGTTCCTTTATTATCTGTGAATTTCTATGTTTTCTAGAGGAAATACTTTTTTAATCAATCCACTCCAAGGATAGAAATAATGCACTAAGACGCAATGTGTTACTGGGAATAACAGAGAATGAAAAGGGTTTAGAAAAAAAACCGGAATCCCACTCCTAAACAGGAAATAAGGTATAAACTTCTCTTGTTCGAAAGACCGGAGAGGGGTGTGAACTGAATGATAGACAAACCTATTTACTATTAAGGAAAAATAAAGAAATAAATTATAAATAGCAAATAAAATGTCAGTGTTTAGGCAGAGACGCTAGAAGTATAGAGTTGAAGACCTTAAGGAACCGGAAAACCAACTCTAAACAGAAAAGGGATAAAGACCGGAGAGGAGTGTGAACCGGACGATAGGCGAGCTTAATGGAATGGTTTCCCGTTGCCGTCTGAACACTTTGGAATTTATAGTTTTTTTTTATCTCTCAGATTGGTTACCATCCAAAGTAAGAAACCCTAGTCTATCCTGTTATTTAACTCATAGCTACGGGGGCGGAGGGAAGTGATAGATTCATGCCTTTCCAGAGAGCATTAGTGTGATAGAGAATGCAAGAGACTAGACATGAATTTGAACGCGTCTCTAGGATTTTACTTTTCGCACCGATAGCCGTTATCCTACCAGATACTACCGGAGGGAAAACCCAATGTGCACGTAATGATGTTTAATGATGTTTGCGAAAATCCTGACTGAACAGATCTAATCGAAGTTTACATTTCTGGGATGGGAAATACGTTTGAAGAAGGAAACTTCTAGAAAGAATTAAACAGAAAAATAAAGAAAAAAAAGATGAAAGGAAAGAAGAAAAAAGGGAAAAGAAACAAAAAATAAATAACAGAAAGGATGAAGACGAGGGGCCACCGTAACGTTATGTGTAACGAGCTCGTCTCAAAGCTCTTTTTATGGTTTCATTTATTTAACAATCACCGAGGTTAAGCAACGTTGAGCATGGTTAGTTCCTAGATGGGTGACCGCTTGGGAATACCAGGTGTTGTACGCCTGGATTTGTGGGTGGTGTAATGGATAATCTCTCGGAATTGTTAATCGAAGAGTCGTGTTCCAATTCCCGTTGAGTTCGTTATATTCACTTACGCACATACACTCTTGGGAAAGGTAAAAATCCACCTCTTCTCGTCCCAGCTATGGGTTAATTAGTAAGACTTGTATCACTAAACCATTAGTATCTAAAAGAAAATTCTTAGAATCTAAAAATATTTGTTGTCTTTAAATAACTTACGAAGGGTCGAAAATTCGTAGAAAACGAATCAATCAATTATTAGATCATGCTACTTCCTTTCTTTTACAAGCCATATCATTTCAAGGTATGTGTAGTAATGGCCCTCCACAACTTTCAGTTTTTTGTTTATCTAAGTAACTTTTAACCCTTTTCTATTTGTTCTTGTTTTGCTATTCATTCACGAAAATTGTTAAGTAGATTACTCTGTTTTTCCTCGCTTTTTGCCTTTAATGTCTTCTAAGTACTGACTTTTCAAAGTCCACTTTTCTCATTATGACTCAGAAATTTCAGCTGCCACGTTTTCTTGTAGTTCCTATTTTTCTTAAAACTTCCTTGTTACACACATGTTCTGTCGATTTTATTCTCAGCTTTGTATAAAAACATATTTCACATCAGGAATAGTTTCTTATTTCCAGTAGGTGTTTGAAACTCGGTAAAAGACTATATTTCGAATGCTGATTTTTTAGGATAAACAGATAGGTCTCCCTTTGGTGGTAATTTGGAGCTACACAAAGCAAATTTTCTTTTCAGATTTGTACCGCATAAGCGAAAATTTAAAAATTAAGAAAGTGTAAAATCTAGCATTTATCATGGTTAATATAGTTACGCATTTTTTACGGGTTACAAAGGTTAGTATTCGAGATAAGTTAGAGATGCTTCCCTACATGGAAGTTTGACGTGACACCATCTTACTCCTGTCATTTTCCCCATTTTAGCCTGATATTGTATAAAGCTCAGCATAATGAATAACAAAGGGAAAAAAAAATCAAAAACTAAAAACGAAGCAGAAAACTGGACAAAGAGAAAGAAACCACAAAGAAATTATTAGAAGATGAAAATGCATGGAAGAAAGAAGAGTAAGAAAAGAATGGAGAATAAAGAAGAAATGATATATCTAAGAGTAAAAGAGAAGACTGAGGAAAGATCGGGGAGAGAGAGAGAGAAGACTGAGGAAAGATCGGGGAGAGAGAGAGAGAGAAGACTGAGGAAAGATCGGGGAGAGAGAGAGAGAGAAGACTGAGGAGGAAAGATCGGGGAGAGAGAGATGAGGAGGAAAGATCGGAGAGAGAGAGAGATGAGGAGGAAAGATCGGAGAGAGAGAGAGATGAGGAGGAAAGATCGGAGAGAGAGAGAGAGAGAGATGAGGAGGAAAGATCGGAGAGAGAGAGAGAGATGAGGAGGAAAGATCGGAGAGAGAGAGAGAGAGATGAGGAGGAAAGATCGGAGAGAGAGAGAGAGAGATGAGGAGGAAAGATCAGAGAGAGAGAGAGATGAGGAGGAGGAAAGATCGGAGAGAGAGAGAGAGAGATGAGGAGGAAAGATTGGAGAGAGAGAGAGAGATGAGGAGGAAACAGCGGAGAGAGAGAGAGAGAGATGAGGAGGAAACAGCGGAGAGAGAGAGAGAGAGATGAGGAGGAAACAGTGGAGAGAGAGAGAGAGATGAGGAGGAAATAGTGGAGAGAGAGAGAGAGATGAGGAGGAAACAGTGGAGAGAGAGAGAGAGATGAGGAGGAAACAGCGAGAGAGAGAGAGAGATGAGGAGAAACAGCGGAGAGAGAGAGAGATGAGGAGGAAACAGCGGAGAGAGAGAGAGATGAGGGAGAAAAACAGAGAGAGAGAGAGAGATGAGGAGGAAACAGCGGAGAGAGAGAGAGAGATGAGGAGGAAACAGTGAGAGAGAGAGAGAGATGAGGAGGAAACAGCGGAGAGAGAGAGAGAGATGAGAGGAAACAGCGGAGAGAGAGAGAGAGAGATGAGGAGGAAACAGAGAGAGAGAGAGAGATGAGAGGAAACAGTGAGAGAGAGAGAGAGATGAGGGAGGAAATAGGGAGAGAGAGAGAGAGATGAGGAGGAAACAGCGGAGAGAGAGAGAGAGATGAGGAGGAAACAGCGGAGAGAGAGAGAGAGATGAGGAGGAAACAGCGGAGAGAGAGAGAGAGATGAGGAGGAAACAGTGGAGAGAGAGAGAGAGATGAGGAGGAAATAGTGGAGAGAGAGAGAGAGATGAGGAGGGAAACAGCGGAGAGAGAGAGAGAGAGGAGGAAATAGTGGAGAGAGAGAGAGAGAGAGGAAACAGAGGAGAGAGAGAGATGAGGAGGAAATAGAGAGAGAGAGAGAGATGAGGAGGAAACAGAGAGAGAGAGAGAGAGAGAGGAGGAAAAAGTGAGAGAGAGAGAGAGAGAGGAGGAAAAAGTGGAGAGAGAGAGAGAGATGAGGGAGGAAATAGTGAGAGAGAGAGAGAGAGAGGGAGGAGGAAAAGGAGAGAGAGAGAGAGAGAGAGGAGGAAACAGCGGAGAGAGAGAGAGAGATGAGGAGGAAACAGCGGAGAGAGAGAGAGATGAGGGAGGAAACAGTGGAGAGAGAGAGAGAGATGAGGAGAAACAGGAGAGAGAGAGAGGAGGAAATAGAGAGAGGAGAAAGGAGAAACAGAGAGAGAGAGAGAGAGAGGAGAGAAACAGAGAGAGAGAGAGAGAGGGAGGAAACAGTGGAGAGAGAGAGAGAGAGAGGAAATAGTGGAGAGAGAGAGAGAGATGAGGAGGAAACAGGGAGAGAGAGAGAGAGATGAGGAGGAAACAAAGGGAGAGAGAGAGAGAGATGAGGAGGAAAAACAGCGGAGAGAGAGAGAGAGAGAGGAAACAGGGAGAGAGAGAGAGATGAGGAGGAAACAGGGAGAGAGAGAGAGATGAGGAGGAAACAGCGGAGAGAGAGAGAGAGAGAGATGAGGAGGAAACAGTGAGAGAGAGAGAGAGATGAGGGAGGAAACAGCGGAGAGAGAGAGATGAGGAGGAAACAGCGGAGAGAGAGAGAGAGATGAGGAGGAAACAGCGGAGAGAGAGAGAGAGAGATGAGGAGGAAACAGCGGAGAGAGAGAGAGAGAGATGAGGAGGAAACAGCGGAGAGAGAGAGAGAGAGATGAGGAGGAAACAGCGGAGAGAGAGAGAGAGAGAGAGGAGGAAACAGAGAGAGAGAGAGAGAGAGATGAGGAGGAAACAGAGAGAGAGAGAGAGAGAGAGGAGGAAACAGGGAGAGAGAGAGAGAGAGAGAGGGGAGGAAACAGTGGAGAGAGAGAGAGAGAGAGAGGAGGAAACAGCGGAGAGAGAGAGAGAGAGAGATGAGGAGGAAACATCGGAGAGAGAGAGAGAGATGAGGAGGAAACAGTGGAGAGAGAGAGAGAGAGAGGAGGAAACATCGGAGAGAGAGAGAGAGATGAGGAGGAAACATCGGAGAGAGAGAGAGATGAGGAGGAAAAGTTCGGAGAGAGAGAGAGAGATGAGGAGGAAACATCGGAGAGAGAGAGAGAGAGGAGGAAACACGAGAGAGAGAGAGAGATGAGGAGGAAAACATCGGAGAGAGAGAGAGAGATGAGGAGGAAACATTGAGAGAGAGAGAGAGATGAGGAGGAAACATCGGAGAGAGAGAGAGAGAGAGATGAGGAGGAAACATCGGAGAGAGAGAGAGAGAGATGAGGAGGAAACATCGGAGAGAGAGAGAGAGAGATGAGGAGGAAACATCGGAGAGAGAGAGAGAGAGAGGAGGAAATTTATGAGAGAGAGAGAGATGAGGAGGAAACACGAGAGAGAGAGAGAGAGAGATGAGGAGGAAACATTTAGAGAGAGAGAGAGAGAGATGAGGAGGAAACATCGGAGAGAGAGAGAGAGAGATGAGGAAAACATCGGAGAGAGAGAGAGAGATGAAGGAAACATGAGAGAGAGAGAGAGAGATGAGGAGGAAACATTTGGAGAGAGAGAGAGAGAGATGAGGAGGAAACAAGAGAGAGAGAGAGAGATGAGGAGGAAACATCGGAGAGAGATAATGAAAAATTTATGAAAATCGGAGACTGTCACGATGGAGGAAAATAGAAAGGAAGCAAAAGTATAAGAACTGAGTGTGAATGAAAAAAGTGTAAGAAGAAAAGCAGTGAGGACAAAGGAGAGTAAGGAGAGAGAGATAACTGAAATGTGCCGAAGTGTGACTTACAATGAAAAGAATGTAGATAGAAAAGAGAATATATATATATATATATATATATATATATATATATATATATAGAGAGAGAGAGGAAGAAAAAGAAGTCTGAGAAATAGAGCAAGATATAAAGAGGAATTAATCAAAAAAAATGTAGAGAGAAAGATGAGTGGTAGGGAAGGGTTATAGTCAAAATGAAAAAGAAAATATTATAAAGCAACTGAGACAAACAGTAAGGAAAAGTTAAAGATGAACAAATCTTAGCGAATAACAAAAGGCTGTCTCCAGGCATTCTTCTTAAAAATAAATCCAACAATCTCTCTCTCTCTCGTATACACACGCGCGCATTCTGTTCTTTTACATCTTTCTCGTTTTTATTATTATTATTATCATCAACCTTCGAGGCATACAGATTCGACTTGCCTATAAAATAGAGAATCAATTTAAATATTTTATTTTTATGCTGACTTCTTGCACCGACTAAAAAAGATCTCTTTGTAATTTCTTTAAAATAGAAAACTATTTTTCTGTTTGTGCCTCTCTTATGCAGAAGAAAGACATAATGACAACCCTGACTTCTGTCAATTTATCGTTCAAATAAGAACTGTGCTTTTTGGTGATAAGAGATCAGAGGCAGTAAATTACTGGTATTTTATACATTGCTTGTGAAAAAAAATGTTAAAATTAGATTTCAGTTCCTGCCCTCTCAATACAACGAGGTAATTTTTCAGTTGTCAAATAACGACAGAATTTTTTAAATTCAAAATATTGTTTACTGTATTAAAATCGCTATTTAGTAAGCCTGGTTTAGTTTGGTGTGATAGTAAAGTAACAACATGCTAGATAAGCTCACTAGCCATTACTAATACAGAAGGGGTATTTATATTATTAATATTCACTCAATACAATGCTGAAGAACCACTCAAGACAGAGGGATACTGAATGAAGTGTGTGATAGGAATGTAAGCGTTGGATTATGTGGATATAGAGGATAAGCAACGATTAACCACTGACGAGTTTATCGTTGTAGCGTTTGGGGAAAACGAAAGCGGCTCTTGCGAAAAAGGTGAATGGAACTTCCTCCTTAGAATTGGAATATATACATACATATATATATATATATATATATATATATATATATATATAGAGAGAGAGAGAGAGAGAGAGTGTCGTTCAACTCTGTGGACGCAGTATGGCGGGTCTTAGCTGCAAAAACTGAATTGGTAAAATTAAAGAATGTAGCTCGTCCGAACATTTGTCATGGAAATAGCGATAGAGTAGTGATAAGCTTTCAAAGTTGCGTTTGTAGGACAGAGATTGCAGGGTGGAACATACGTCATCGCCTAAAGGGTAGCATAAACAGGTTTTGGATACGAGACAAATAAAGAAGTCATTAGGTTGCAACATGTCGTAGTCTTATTAAATATGCAGGCATGTCAGATTTTGAAAATCTTTTACAAACCATACTACAGAACTAGGTCTCTTGTGCTTGTAAAATGTTTGCTATTGTATGAGATTTAAATTTATTTGTTTCACTTCTAAATTTGTGAAGATTAATACGGGAGACGTCTTTGAAATTTTTTCATTGTTATTTTGTTAACTTTATTTCGTCTTTTTATTATCTTTGTGATGAAAAACGAAATTATTTTTTTTTAATTATGCCCCTATGGAAAACTGAATAAAACACAATGAAAAATACATATTCAACAATTAAAAAATATAAAAGTAAAATAATTAAAATATTAAATCTTCTATGTACCGCGTCTTTTCAGAACGTAGGCGTTCATGACTCTCCACAATTTTCGTGTGGCTTAGCAGTTTTCCACCCTTTGTTAAAGCTCGCTCCATGTCATCCATTGACACAATCTTGACAGGTAAGTAGCTGTCTTCCCCTCTCTCTTAACATTCACGCGGCATAGCGAGCGTAAGTTTTCTAAGCCTTCCTTCCTCATTTGGTGTCCAAGGAATTTCAGCTGCCTGTTTCTGATTCTTTCTGATGCTATTTCCTTGTCTTTTACACGTTCCACCAATGGAATTTTCACCTTTAAAAAAAAAAAAAAAATGTTTTTATATTCTTCAGAAAATTTCCTCTGACAGCTCCCAATATTCTCCCACGCAATTCACCTCCGGTACACTGCACCATGGAATCCATCAAGATTTCTTTTAAAGCTTCATGCATTCATTACACATTTCACCTACTCGGACGACTGAGTAGCGAGTTCGATCTTCACTGTGTGCCGCATACTTCCGGCCTTGTGCCACATCTAAGCAACGCTCAGAAAAAAAAAAAATTCACATAGCCGGAAAGCTTATTCTCATAAAATATCCTTTCCGAGAAAAAATGCTTAGGTTTATTTGGGTGTACGATTAAAATTTTTGTTCTTTTTGGTATTCTAAAATACTTTGTTGTCTTGGATTAAATTGGATTCGATAATAGTGAAATACGGTAAAATATTGAAAACCGTCTTGCAGAAAATCACAATAGTAGTGCTTGAAAACAAGCCAATATCCCGCGTTTGTAGCTTCTAAATTATTGCTCTACAGCAAATGTCCCAGAATTTACTAAAATTAGTCTGATTCGAGACCTCACTGGTAGAGACATCCAAGAAGGTTAAAACTCACTGCGTATGGTCTGCGATATTAACTGACCAAGTATCCGCACAGAATTCAATTTAAAATATTTGCGTTTTAGGTGGTGTTTTTTTTTTTTTTTTTTTTTACTTAGATCAGACCGTAACGAAGCTAGTACGGTAGAATATCCAGTGAGGAACGAACACACTGTACCTGTGTTAAAGTCTTTGAGATCTGCATGCTAAATATTTAAGCTTAATTTCGAATAGAGTCGCAGATAAGAGGTTCACTGTTAGGATCGAACACGTTACACAAGTTTAACGTGGATTACCGACACGTGTGACAAAAAAGGACAAACATTTTCAAGTCACATTATCCTTTTGTCAGTATACACCGATCCTTCTTCTGTAGTGGAAGGAAGGCGATGTTGCCACAAAATCTACACTGGCAATGGTCTTCGAGACACATTATTATGCTATGACAAGCATTCGCAAGACAGTAATACACTGGCAGTCTATTACGTTGACCGATATTCCGGTTTTGTGAACCAGATGTAATGTCGAGGATATTATGCTAGCTAATTGTTCGTATATGCAACAATGCTAAAAAGGCAGTTGATTAACAAGGATAAATCTTCAAAACTGACCACAAATCTGAGCTCCATAAAAGAAAGGTAATGCTGTGCATATGATGGAATCGTCGGAGTATCATTCATTCAAAGTTCTTAAATTGCAATGAAACACTATATCCACGTTCATACACCAGGCAGCTTCAACATGTCCATAGGAAAAAATGTTCTACATTACGATGTAAGGCAGCATAAGGCAAAAATAACACACCGTTGTTCCGTTTTCTTCTACACGCCATATTTACCTGAACTAGCAGCAAGTAAATATTTTTTCTTACCATTACGATCACTGCAAATTGCTTTGACGAGGAAACGTTTTCTAATGAAAACCAGACTAAAGATTTTGTCGAAAATATTAAAACTAACAGAATTTTACTCAAACGTTAACACCAAATTGATAAGTGTTAACAAGTCATTGCAAATAACGACAAGTTTATAACTGAATAAAATCATTTAATTGTACTTTATTTTTAAGGAATAAAGTTGCTAAACAAAAACGGAAATTATTTACAACTCAGCCTAATATATAACATCGTATCTCAAGCCTTTATAAAAGGTAAATTAGCAAACGTTGAGTGATAGCAACTGCTCACAAGTTAAGCGTTCTTGAAACTGTTTTTATTTTTAATGCCGTCTAAAATAAAGCACAGTGTAATGATGGAAATGCTTGCCAGGAGATAATGGTGGTTGTTAAACAATGTTTTATTTTCCGTTTTTCTATTCACTCCTGTTTATTTTCCAAAAGAGTAAACATTAAACTCAAATGCAACATAAATGATAATTTAAAAAAATCTAAAATCATTAGTACTGAGTTATTTGTTTTATTCAAAGACGTTTTGAAAGATTTTTTCTTTCTTTGTTGAAATTGCTGGTTCATAACTAGCGAAGTGTGACCAATTGGCAGAAAAGATGATATAATGAATAAAAAAAAGAGAAATGATAACGCTTTTGGTACAGAGCCAAATGATATTTAACCGAAATATTGATCAAAGCAATCCTAAAATAGTAAACACTGTCTCTTTTTCGCAGTTGTGTCTCAGTTTTTCGTATATGTGTGTGTATGTGTGTGTATGTGTGTGAGAGAGAAGCAAGAATTAATTCAGATAATTAATATATTTCATTGACATGGTCTTGTCTATTCAACCTTTATTATAACTTTCCAATAAGAAATTATGAGAAAATTTCAAAAGCTTTTATATTTTTTTTCTGTTATATTCAAGTACTTTCGGATATCACAGTCATTGTTAAAAGCGGGGTGTTGTCAGTATGGTAAGCAACATTTTTAAATTAAATTCTGACGTAGATTGCTGGAATTGAGATTAGTTCAAAATGGCGTCGTACGTAACCTAAACGGAAAAAATATGTAAGGAATGTAACGGGCAAAAAACATGAACTTTGAACAATTGTTTCATAACTTCAATCGCGATGTACAACTTATTCGGAAATTGGAAAGATAGTATAAAAGGTTGAATAGATAGACCTTCCTTGTCGATGGAATCTAATAAAACTTGTTTGTAATATTGTTTGTATATATATATATATATATATATATATACACACACATATATATATATATATACTGTTACTGTGGAACGGGTGTTGATAAATTCTGAAGCCTTTACTAATGTAATAAGTGTAATTCCCACGGATTCCCGTCAATTATAAGCATTTGTTGTTTTATAATATAATTTACCCAATACTAGACTCAAAAATCCCTATAGGTAAAGGGTTAGGATAAAATCGTAATGATGGATGAGGTATTTGCCTTAGAAAGAAAAATCCTGTTG